TATTATAAAGCATGATATAAACTACCATCAACCTGACCCCTGATATATAACAATATACCCCATAATGGCTAGAGGAACCCCCGCCGCCTCCTCTCCCACGACTGCGACGCCGCCCACCGGAGCCTTGAAACGTTCCACGTCCAGCACCCAGAACATGAAAAACCAAAAGTCAATTCTTGGATTCTTTCAAAAGTCGTCTCCATCCACGCCGTCCACTGCTCGTAATGCGGAGCCTGCTTCTTCTCCGGCGGAGAGGGTCTCAGAGCAGCGACGCGGAGGTGCGAAGGGCGCGGCGGAACGGAAGAAGGGCGTTCCCAAGTTCAAGCAGGAACTGGAGCTGGTGCCTAGTAGTGACCTAGTGATTCCGGAGGAGGATGAGCAGAATGATAATGCACAGGTGCGATTTGCCGACAGCGGTGTGTTCTCGGTATTGACGACTAACTCATGATGCTGCAGGAGAGTCCGAATGGCAAAGCCGAGATGAAGACGGCATCCCCATCGCGACGGGTAAGGACCTGAACCTTGGCATTTGTTAATTTTAAATGTGCTGATAACTCATCCTTCCAGGCCAAGAAGCAGGTCAATTACGTCGAATCCGACTCCGAAGGCGAAGATGACGACGAGAAGATATTCCGCCCTAGTCGCAACAGCAGGAACAAGCGAAGGAAGATGTCTCCTGAAAGTGATGATGAGTTCAACGATGGCGAAGATGTGGGCTACTCCGATGATGGTGAGATTTTGTTCCCACATCTCTGCATGCTATTCTGACCGGTTTTAGAAATGGACGACTTCATTGTTGCAGACGATTCGGACGAAGAAACGAAACCTACCAAGAAGCGCAAGAGACCATCGACCCAACCGAAGAGCAAGTCCTCCTCTTTACCACCTGTATCACCTGATGAGGACTTGGACCTGGACATACCAGACGCATCTGCCGGTACAGCTCTCAAGTGGACGTACGACCCAGAGAACTCCGAGCCACGCCAGCCTCGCACAGCACCGGTTACTCCAAAGAAATCATCGGGAGCCACGAAGCAGAAAGCACATGTGACGGAGCCTGAACAACGGTATGCCTGGCTTGCAAATATCCGAGACATTGACGGGCATCCTATCGGCCACCCTGAGTATGACCCTCGCACTCTATATATCCCACCATTGGCTTGGACCAAGTTCTCGCCATTCGAGAAGCAATACTGGGAGATCAAACAGAAATTCTGGGATACTGTTGTTTTCTTCAAAAAGGGCAAGTTCTACGAGCTTTATGAGAATGATGCTACCATCGGACATCAATTGTTCGATCTAAAGCTTACTGATCGTGTGAACATGCGCATGGTTGGTGTTCCGGAGATGAGTTTGGATCACTGGGCCAACCAGTTCGTGGCCAAGGGGTTCAAGATCGCTCGTGTTGACCAAATTGAGTCAGCCCTGGGCAAGGAGATGCGCGAACGTGATGGTAAGAAGGGCGGAGGTAAAGAAGACAAAGTCATTAGAAGAGAATTGTCGTCAGTTCTCACGGCCGGTACCCTTGTGGAAGGCTCCATGCTGCAGGATGACATGTCTACGTACTGTGTTGCTATCAAGGAGGCTCTGATCGATGACAAACCTGCCTTTGGTATCGCTTTTGTCGACACAGCAACCGGCCAATTTTTCCTATCGGAATTTGTGGACGATGTTGACATGACGAAGTTTGAAACTTTTGTCGCGCAAACCCGACCACAGGAGCTTCTTTTGGAAAAGTCTGCAGTGTCCCAGAAGGCTTTGCGCATCTTGAAGAATAACACTGGCCCGACTACGCTCTGGAATCATTTGAAGCCGGTGAAAGAGTTCTGGGAGGCTGACATTACGGTCAAGGAGCTCGATGTGAGCGAGTATTTCGTCTCGCAGGACGATGATAACCTGCAAGCTTGGCCTGAAGCACTCCGAGAAGCCCGGGACAAAGAGTTGGTCATGTCTGCATTCGGTGCTTTGGTGCAGTACCTCCGACTCTTGAAGATTGACCGTGATTTGATCACCATTGGCAACTTCACTGCGTACGATCCGATCAAGAAGGCCACCAGCCTGGTGCTGGATGGTCAAACTCTTATCAACATGGAGATATTCTCCAACTCTTTCGATGGAGGCTCTGAGGGCACCTTGTTCCAGCTTTTGAATCGGTGTATCACACCTTTTGGTAAGCGCATGTTCAAGCAATGGGTATGCCACCCGCTTGTGGATGCAACTAAGATCAATGCTCGGTTGGATGCTGTGGATGCCCTCAATGCTGATCCTACTGTCCGGGACCAATTCTCGTCCCAGCTGACCAAAATGCCTGACCTGGAGCGACTCATCTCCCGTGTCCATGCTGCGAACTGCAAGGCCCAAGACTTCTTGCGCGTTCTGGAAGGATTTGAGCAGATTGAGTACACCATGAGTCTGCTCAAGGAAAGTGGCTCAGCAGGAGAAGGTGTCATTGGGCAATTGATCAGCGGAATGCCTGACCTGAACGACCTGCTCGAGTACTGGAAGACTGCTTTTGATCGTTCCAAGGCGAGGGAGAACGGTATCTTGGTACCGAAGCCTGGTGTTGAAGAAGACTTTGACAGCTCCCAGGAGAACATTGAGCAAATTCACCGCGACCTCGAGAGCCTCCTGAAGCGTGTACGCAAAGAGCTAGGATCTTCCGCTATCATTTACAAGGACAATGGCAAGGAGATCTACCAATTAGAGGTGCCGATCAAGGTCAAGAACATCCCAAAGAACTGGGACCAAATGTCTGCTACGAAACAAGTCAAGCGCTACTACTTCCCGGAGCTGCGCAAGCTCATTCGTCAGTTGCAGGAGGCCCAAGAAACACACAGTCAGATCGTCAAGGAAGTCGCTGGCCGATTCTATGCACGATTTGACGAAAATTACACCACCTGGCTTGCTGCCGTTCGCATCGTAGCCCAGCTTGACTGTCTCATCAGTTTAGCCAAGGCCTCATCCTCTCTCGGCCAGCCCAGCTGCCGGCCTGTCTTCGTGGACGACGAGCGAAGCGTTCTCGAGTTCGAGGAGCTGCGCCATCCATGCCTGATCTCCTCGGTAGGCGACTTCATCCCTAACGACGTCCAGCTCGGAGGCACACACGCGAACATTGACCTCCTCACCGGAGCCAACGCTGCCGGAAAGTCCACCGTCCTCCGAATGGTGAGCCAGCCCTTTCCCTCAATAGCTTTTTCTAGAAGATCCAGACTAACCCTGAAAACTGTAGACCTGCGTCGCCGTTATCATGGCCCAAATCGGTTGCTACCTCCCCTGCCAATCCGCACGCCTCACCCTAGTCGACCGAATCATGTCCCGTCTAGGTGCAAACGACAATATCTTCGCCGCCCAATCGACCTTCTTCGTCGAGCTCTCCGAGACCAAGAAGATTCTCTCTGAAGCCACACCCCGTTCGCTTGTCATCCTTGACGAACTGGGCCGCGGTACCAGCTCCTACGACGGTGTGGCCGTCGCCCAAGCCGTGCTGCACCACGTGGCCACGCACATCGGCGCTCTCGGCTTCTTCGCGACCCACTACCACTCCCTTGCTGCCGAGTTCGAGGGACATCCTGAAATCGCACCAAAGCGTATGCGCATCCACGTTGACGATGAGGAACGCCGCGTCACCTTCTTGTATAAGCTTGAAGATGGCGTTGCGGAGGGCAGTTTCGGTATGCATTGTGCGGCGATGTGTGGTATTCCGGACAAGGTTATTGAGCGGGCAGAGGTGGCTGCTAAGCAATGGGAGCATACGAGTCGGTTGAAGGAGAGTTTGGAGAGGAGGAAGGGAGGTGGATTGGTGGGGATGGGGTGGTGGAGTGATGTTGCTTGGGCGTTGAGGGACACGATGGCTGAGAGTGAGGAGGGTGCTCAGGAGGTGAGTGATCGCAGTTTGGAGGTGTTGAGGAAGGCGATTGAGGCTTTGTGAGGGGGTGCAGGGTTTCTTCCGGGTTATTGAAAGACATACATGCCTACATAGATGTTATCTTCTGTTTTTGTTATCCTTATGAGTAAGGACCGGGTGTTAAAATTAGGGCTACGTTTCGAAAAGTGAGGATATAATTGGGCTTTAGTTGTTAATCTGAGGTATTGAAATCGGATACGTGCCACAAAACCAATATCCATAAAGTCTGCATATGTAGTTACTCTTTTGATAGCTATTACTCGAAGTCTTGCGGCTTTCACCTATTACTATTTAGTACCAGGTACTTGGGAGACTTGAAGATGATGGAAAATAATAATAATATAATCATTCCAAGAAACTATGACTGCTCGTGATGATGGATACTCCAGTTCCTTCCCTTTGGAGAGAGATACCCATCCAACTCAAGAACAGAACCATACCAAGTAAAAATACCCAAGGTTATCAGATTATTGCATTGTCCTAGATGTTTATGCCTTGAAGGGTGAGGGGAACCCATGCGGCAGATGAGTTCAGCTGGACGAAAGACGAACCCAATAACTGTCTGCCCCATTTCCAAAATAACCCTGAAAATAGATAGAGAGGAAAGAAGACAAATACCACCTATTTCGAAACCTGCTCACATGTAAACACAACTACTGGTCATTGCTCACCTCCCTCTGTTGGAACTGCAGATCATATTCAACCTTCAAAGCCCATATATCATGCGGGCCTATATTACTACCTTCACCAGTGCTTATTTAAAAGGTATAGTATGTCTGGCATCTTCCTCAAGAGCCGTATCATTCGAAAATATGGCCCCAGAGTCTTTCAGACGACAGCCCGCCCTAACCCATTGACAGCGATTCATATATTGTATTATCGTCGTGTGCTGTCATGTTCCCCTACTGATATTGAACACCGAAAGAATTGAAAATTATGTCTCTTGACTCATGAAGGAAACCAAAACAGATGGACAAAAGCAGAAAGCAGGCGTAGTTGAGCCAAATCGAGACACAGATACTCGAGCGACAGTACAAATGGGGTAATAACCTTCGATAAGAGAACAAATCGAAGGTAGCGGCATTAGAACAAGTATTCATTCACGCCGAGGCCTCTTCAAAAGAGGAGAATCCAGAGCGTTTATCTCGGCACGCCATAAAGCTGCTCGAAGCTTAGGATCTTTCTTAACTGCTCCCTTGCGAAGGGTTTCGAGGCGTAACTTGAAAACTTCCAAAAAGAATTCCAGGTCCTCAACAGCATCGGCGACAAAGTCGTCGTTTCGCCATTGGTCCAGAGTCACCGGCCAGCGGAGAACTTTGCCCCCTGGCATTCCTGTCGATCTGATCTTCGCTAGAGCCTTTTCGAGAGGGGCGGGAATAGAGGTCAGGTCGATAACCGAACCGTGACGGCGCTGAACTTCATCTACAGGAGCCGTATTCGAATCGGTTTCTCCTCCAATTTCTTCCTCTTGCGCTTCTATAGCAGTGTAGGGTTCGATGAAGAGCTGCTCTTCAAATTCAGTAGTCGTGTTCCTCCCAAGGGCCATGATCTGGTCCCTTATCTCTCGCTCCATCAGGCCAACAGTGACACTGCTGGATGTCTCAATGGTATCGGACGATTCATGTCCATCTACATGAGCCCCTTGGATAGGGCGTCTGTTCGTGTTGTTGGGCATCGCGTTGGTTCAATGGCGATTATGTAGGTAAAATGCGCGAATTTAACAATTACGATGGAGGCTGCAGGACTTCGAACTGTTGGTCCGCAGATGTTCTTTCCAAGAGATGATTGGATGAATCCAGGCCAAAGTCTTGTGATGAGCTGAATATATGATAAGTATGGTGCTTCTATGATAACAGGGGCTTGCTTTTGTCACTCACCTGGGATACCAACAGGTCTAATAGTCAAGATCTGTTGTGCAGAAAGAGTGACGATGAAGAGGAAGAAAGCAAACTACATGACTGATACTTATAGCTGACCCGCCGGTGCTAGGAACCCTTCACACGTACAAATGAACGACTAATCGATCTATCACCAGGGCGATATTCACATCTACTGTCAAGAAAAGGCTTTGACGAGCAGATTCTCCTGTGAAGCTCCTCACTTCTTCCTCACAACCTTCCTCTCTCTCGAAAGTTGTATCAGTTCTAATAACAAATACCTCATCTGATAGCACTTTATCCATATTATATCATGGGCGAGGATATTGAGGCTGTTGATGCACGTTTCAAGATTATATCTGAGAATCTGCGTCTGGCTATGTGCGCCGCTCCCGAACTTGACATGGCATTTGAACCAGAGCGTGCAGACAGGAGCAACTCAGTCACCATGATCCCAACCGTCCTAGCTGAATCTCCTGGTGAGCTAACCTGTGAACCAACGTTCTCTGTGCTACAATTGGCAGGGGCTCGATCCTTCACAGAAAGCCCTCAACGACGTCCACAGGAAGTATTCGATTTCACTCCATATCACCTTAATGTGCTTCGAAGCGATCTCGCGGAGCTTCGAGCTTCGCTCGCAGCCAGCGGTTCAATTGCGCGTTTTTCCGATGAAATCGAAATGTTGAAGCAACTGGTCAAGAAATTGCAGGAAGATTGTCTTCGCGCCCAAGAGGATCGGGTATCCGCTTTGTTGGAGTGTGCGAAACTGCAGAAGGAGCGTAACGACGTATCCCGTGATGCGATTGAGAAGATAGAGGCACTCCGAAAAGAGAATAGAAGGTTGAAATTGGATCTTGCCAATTTAAAACACAAGCAAGATAAAGAGGTGGAAAAGGGCAACAAAAACCGGGTTGGCAAGGAGGGTAGGCCCAAGGAACGCGTACGTTTCGCAGATACCTGTCCGGAGGAACCAAAAGCACAACAACCTTCGTTGGACATGGAGGAAACTCGTGATCCCAGACTTGCACGCCCATTGGCAAGGCCGCCGCTAAACCGCTGTCCCCCAAGTTGGGATCTAGATAACGGCCCACAGGAGCCGTCACCAGCACGATACTCGTCGCCCCAAATATGACCGCAGCGGCCTTCGAAGGGCGCCAATCAATCATGAACCCGAAAGTCGGACAAGGATCCATATCGTCACTTGAATGAATCTGTGTATCTGTGTGCCTTAGTGATATGCGCTACTTTGATTGAACTTGGTACGGGTCTCGTCCAGGGAGCATGCGTTTGGACATTTTCGGGAGGCGAACTGGTTTTCTGCACTATACACCAACTCCCGTAGCGTATCATGTTATTTATGATGATGTAGCTAGCTGCGACCTAGGAAAAAAAAAGAAAAAAAGAAAAGAAAAGGGAATAATCCCCAAATTGCATTTTTGATTGAACTTCCGATATTAAGCCCTAGGGTATGAATAATGAGGCATATTGAGAATGCCAGACTGTACTGTGGGAGCAGAAAATGGTATATATTCGAGAAAGTATGATACTTCTTCTGATAAAGCAGTAGTAGCTACTTGAAGTAAACGCCACTGCTTAACACATCCAACTATATATTGTCTTGGGATTCTGTAACACTAACAACCTGATGGATTCCGCCAAGGAGCAGTTATACTGTTTACTGTACATGGTTGATCCATCTTAGCAAGCGAAAATGTAGTGGAAATTTTCATTTTTCACATGTAGATTTCTCGAATGCCAGAAAAAACAACGTACATACAACATACTTTGCTCCATTCGTAAATGCAATCACAAACAATATACAAAGTATCTAGAATCTCCCATTGTCGAGCAGAAGGCGAATAAAGTCCCAGCTCTCCATTAAGGAAGGATACAAGGAATCATGTCGAACAAGCCCAGCAATTGTAAATATAACCATCAGCCCGACCAGACCTAATAAGACTGCTACCCTTCCTCTGTACCCTGACTTGCAATACCGCTCATCTCATCCTCTTTCCAGCTTCCTTTCTCCAATGTCTCCGCCCCGTGGCTCAGCATTGTATGAGGCGTAACGTGCCAGTGTAGCACGAGCCTGTTGAACACACTCTGATACAATCCCGAGTCCTGATCGGCGGTTACAACATTCATGTCCTCCAGAAAGGCCGCCTGGTGGTGATTGGATTAAACCTCATCCCGCAATCGCCCTGACTTGCGACGAAGCCGCTAGGAGCAGGATGTAACAATCTCATAATTGGTGTTGGTCAAAGCTCCCAACAAACCCAAACTCCCACGGATCAAATTGAGTGTAGAATCGCAAACTCCACATCATGAAACCATTCGACCTGGTTGGTTGGCTCATAACTTGGCGGTTGATCCCGAGCTCCGCAAATTAAACTCCCGCGATGATGTGCGAACCGAAAATTCAGGACCGCGGGCAGTAGTAAGTTGAAGCAAAAGGTTAAATTATAAATAAAGATCGACATAGTGTATGATCCTCCTGAACACCCCCGTGGGACAGGGTTCTGTATTAACATTTAGAGTTCGACTAAGCAAACGGAAACGCTTCACAAAACACCCGCTTTTTGGGTCTCTGCTTCAACTTCCCCGGAAATTCAGCCATCTTCTAACCGTTCGTGATCCAGTCCCTGTAAATCACTGACAATTTAGGGGTTTGCACATCGTCATTTGCTGGGAGTCGACCTACTATTCAGGTTTTGCACGCAGAGTATCATCGTGGTGTCGTTCTTTTGCCCATTTGGGATTTAGCCCACTCCACGAGGACATAGCCAGAGAGCTATATAAAGGTCGCTCAATTGTCCTTCAATCATCTCTATCATCATCAGCAGCAATTAGAAAAACCAACTCACCAATCCTTCAATTGACCCCAAAACAATCCCAATCCCATCATTTCAACCACCATCATGAAGCTCTCCATCGTCTCCATCCTCACCCTCGGCCTCGCCGCCGGCTCCCTCGCTGCGCCCACCGCGGTTCAGGAGCGCGACCTCCCCACCGTCACCGGCGTCCTCTCCAGCATCGGCACCAAGGTCGACGCCCTGGGATCTGCCATCCGAGCTTACAACGGTGGCGACGTGGCCAAGGTGCAGCAAGCCTCCGACACTCTGGTGACGGCCATCAACAACGGCAACACCAAGGTCAGCAGCACGGCCGCCCTTAGCAGCGGCGACGCGCTGGGACTCCCCGGCCCCGTCAACGATCTCAAGGATAAGATCACCGCCGTCATCAACAAGCTCGACGGCAAGAAGAGTCTCATCGTCAAGGCCGGCAAGGGCGCGCAGACCTACAACGACCTGACCCAGCAGAAGGCTGCCGCCAAGAAGCTGTCCGACACTATTGTCTCCAAGGTCCCGGAGAACCTCCAGAGCCTGGCTGGCTCCATCGCTGGCGGTATCTCTGACGCCATCGACACCGGTGTGAAGGACTTTGCCGATCAGGCCCCCAAGGGCTCCAAGCGTGAGGAGGCGGCCCCTCTTGTTGATGCTGCTATTGCGGTTTAAGAAGATGCTCTTGGGGAGGGGGTGTGGATCTGCTGCGCAGGTCATACACAGTTGTTTGTGGTCTCGCTGGATACTTTTGAAGTTATCGGGATAGCTATTGTGTGCGGAGGATCAATGTGGAGTAGCGGATGGTTTATAGTTGAGTTGAATTATTGCTTATATATTAGTGCTTTCCGGTGTAGCCTGATCTAGGAAGGATTCGACGTGCATAGCTCGTAGTTTAATAGCCCTCAGTTCATTTCTGCGGGAGAAACTATATAAATCAGCCAGCAGGTAGGACTATTTTACGTTTATGCACATAAAGGTGGAATGGGACCAGCCAGATTCAGTAGCTATTCGTCTTTAAGATTAGCATAAGAGCGAATCTATACTTTGATATCCCTTTCGATATTAGACCATTTATAATATTAGAAATTGGTAAAGCTGTTAGTTGGATAGGATGACATTTAAAAATTAACAATTGCGATGAATATGGGTGGGACTTACGTTGCGTGTATATCTAATTGGTTGAGTTGGGTCAAATTAAGCCTGTGGCCGATGATCCCGAAAGGTATGCAGGGCGTACCTGTATTTGTGAGAATAGAGACATTGGCAAGGTGATCATTGATATTGACGGTGCCCCGATTATGACAATATCTCGACTCCTCACTTGAACCAAAAACAAAAAAAAAAAAAAAAAAAAGCTCCAAATGGCCAGGACATATACTCGTCTGATCAAGGGATTGATAGAATTCACAGAGTTGAACGGTAGCCATGTAGAAAGCTCATAAATACCTGTCTCAGGTAGTATGCTACATGCAGCATATAATCGACGGTGAGGCTCTGGAAGGATGCTCAGCAACCGATAATGATGGCCAGGTCCAGGCAACAAGTGCTCTCGGCCGCCAGGTAACCACATCTTCTATAATCTATGCATGAGAATGGGGTATGGTGCAGTTGACGTATCACAGGGCAGGCACCAGGGAGCCGTTGCCTAACCGTTTCAATCCCTTGCGTATCGAGCAAAGCTATATAGATCAATCAAAGCACACCTCAAGAACACCATCATTATCAGACTGAACTTCCAAAAGCAAGGCATCAAAACATCCGTTTACTACGCATTTATTGCCATCCGTTGATCGCCTCATTATGTCGTCGCCAAATCCAGTTTCGACCCTGTTGGCCAAGGTGAATCAGCTCACCGTTCGGCATGAGAATGGCAGGTGGAAGAACGATGCCGAAGATAGTGAAAGTCGGCTCGCCCTGGCAATGGTCTGTCTGTTAGGGGAAGAGGACACCGTGTCTGATCTTCTGGCCAAACGACGGAGGATTAGAGTCATGGATGGTAGCAGTAGCTATGCGGAGACTCTTATAATTGCTTCAGAGTACAAGAACGCCCTCAACAGCATTTTTGCCTCCAAACGGGACCAGTGGAAAGCTAAAAGGACTATTGGTGGACGCACGCCACTTTGCTGTGCTGCAGAGGGTGGTAACGCGGAGATAGTTCGCATGTTGTTGGAGAACGGCGAGGACGTGAACGAGACAGATGCAGATGGTGGCAGGTGCGTCCCGCTGCATTGGGCCGCCTACGACGAGAACCTGGAGGCATTAGAGCTTTTGTTGAAGCATCAGGCCAATATCGAAGCGGTCAATGCTGATGGACATACGCCGCTTGCTCTCGCAGCCCGGACCTACCAAGTGGCGGCAGTCAACCTGTTGCTCGAAAAGTACAAACCCAACGTCAACCCGATGGATGACCGTGGGTTCACGCCGCTATATACACTCGTTAAGACAAAGCCCAAAAATTCGCGGGAAGCTGAGGCGCGGCGGAAAATCATGAGGCGTCTCATCGAAGGAGGAGCGGACGTGGAGGCCGGATTAGGATTATATGGCCCTACTGCTTTGCATAGCGCTGCACTCAACTGTTGCTTTGAGGATGCAGCCATGTTGCTGGAGAATGGAGCTGACGTCAATGTCAGTACTCGTGATGGATTGTCACCCCTAGCCTGCGCCGCAATACAAGGCAACCTGGAAATGGTGAAATTATTTATGGACCACAATGCGAAAGTTGATGAGCCGGGCGTACAAAACATGACACCTTTGGAGATGGTATTAATGGCTCAACACGATTGGTGGGAATGTGGAATAAAAGTTGATAACACGTTCCGGCCACATATCATCGAGCTTTTCCTGCAACGCAAGCCCGACTTACTCCTGCAAAAATCTAAGTGTAATCTTTTCTTGGAAGGGACCACCATAACGGGAATGGCTATCTATCAGGGTACTCCGGAAATGGTGAAGATATTGTTACGCTATCCGGGCAGCAATGTCGAGCAAGGCGTCCTCCGTATGCCTCTTCTGTGTTGGGCCGCGTTCCAGGGCAAAGCGGACATGGTCACAATGTTGATAGAGCAGGGCATTTCCCTTCAGGGGGTTGATGGCCGCTACGGACGAAACGCACTTTCCTGGGCAGTCATTAAGGGTCACCAAGGCGTGTTCACCCAGTTACTGCACACTCCAGGTTTTGGATTGGATGACGTTGATCAACAAGGTCGGTCGGCGCTCTTCCACGCGGCAGTCGCTGGCCATGAAGACATGTTCGAAGAACTTAGATCCCGGGGCTGCGCCGTGCATCGTCCTGATAAATTTGGTATCACTCCCCTAGTTGTAGCAGTTCAACACGGACGGGAGAATGTCATCCGGAAGAGCCTTGAGAACCATCCGCTAACACAGGAGCCCCGGGACCGCTTTGGTCGCAGTCTGTCGTGGTGGATGCGCTCGACTGGAAATGATGCTTTGCGAGAAGTCATCGTCGGCTACGGCATGCAACTGGGGGAGCTTAGTCCGATAGAAGAAATCCGTTCATTTCTTCATTATGAGTCGAATCGGTCGAAACAGCCCTGCGATGTCTGTACGCTTGGTCTCAATCGAGGTGACAGAGGCATTGAATGTGGTTCGGGGTGCAGGAAATATCGGATCTGCCACATCTGCCGTCAGTTTGGTGCGAGCAGTGAGGACTTTGAGGGATCGGAATCTGAGGGATCCACTGAATAGTATGTGTTTACTGTCAAGAGCTGATTGTAGTTCAGTGAACAGGTGAATTTCTCTACTTTGTTCACCTGTTCATTTAAAGTATATCCGGTAGAGTATGTCAGATTAGTTTCGAATCGTAATCGAGTTAGATCACTATTGTCAATAATAGAGCTAAGGTTGTGTAGAACAGTTGGGAATGAATCCAACTCATTCTGTGATTGATTCTAAAGGAGTATCCATAATAAGTCCCGGTCACCTACAGATAGCTACACATAGGCGATCATTGAATACAACGAAATAAGCAATAGGAAACTCCTAGAAAGTCAATCTTGATAAAGCGTAGCCCGTGGCAAGACTCCAGATTTAGTAGAGGTATACCCTTAGTAGTACTAGTAGGGCACACCAGCTCAACGACTGGTCTGACGAGACAGGAGCCGCCAGACCCCCAAGGTTTGTCTGACAAGTGCATGCGTCCCCATCAGCAATCCCACATACCGTAAATCTAATACAGAAGACGGCAACAAAGCAAACACAGTTTCTGGCATCAATACTCACTCATCATTTATGAGATGGTCTCTCCGGTCACGTGCTTGTGATGTGAGCCCTCAACACGTCATGAGGTATCAGCGGAAGCGGATGGTACGGATGTGGAGGCAGCCAGGCGGGTGTGGCGGTAAGCCGTTAGCGCCTCCCTTTAACTATGCAAAGTATACAAAATGAAGGACCTTGGCGAACATGCAACTGACAGGACAGCCATAGTCAAATAAATGGTAGCATCTGAGGCAAGTTCAAGTGCAAGCCAATGGTCACTTCGCTGTGCATCATTCAAGTGTTGTGCTTCCTCCGGAATGGCCGGCAAACTGTCTTTCGCCCTTGTTTCATTGCTACCCATTGCCGTAGCTTCAACCGGCTCGTCGTGTCGCTGCTTTCCCGGAGATGCGTGCTGGCCTTCTACGCAGGACTGGGACACTTTCAACGCTACCCTGGGGGGAAGGCTCATCGCCACAGTCCCTGCTGCGAGTGTATGCCACTACAACAGTACATTCTTGCCATACGATGCGGCGGCTTGTGAAGAGCTGCTGGCAGTGTGGAACGAAACCAGAACCCACTATGAGACCAGTTACTCCCCAATGGCGCCGTGGTTTGCCAATTTCTCCTGCGATCCATACTTGCCCGACACACCCTGCACCATCCAGCCCCTGGTCCGGTATGCCGTGAATGCCAGCAGCGCGCAGGATTATCAGGCAACCATCGAGTTTGCTACCAAGCATAATATCCGCCTTGTTGTCCGCAATACTGGCCACGATTATCTTGGCAGGTCCACTGGGGCTGGTGCCCTTGCCCTTTGGACTCATCATCTGAAAGAGATTGAAATTGTCGAATACCAGTCGACAGGCTACTCCGGGCCCGCCATCAAGGTCGGCGCGGGTGTGCAGATTTTGGACGCCTTGAATGCGGCCCACGAGCAGGGATACACCCTCGTTGGCGGCAACTGCCAGACAGTAGGCTATGCTGGTGGGTATTCTCAAGGCGGAGGCCACGGCCAGCTGATGTCCATGTATGGCCTGGCTGCAGACCAGGTTCTGGAGTGGGAGGTAATCACCGCTGCGGGGGATCACTTGATTGCTACCCCTTTCAATAACTCTGATCTATACTGGGCGATGAGTGGTGGCGGCGGGGGTACCTATGCCGTTGCCCTGTCCATGACCAGCAAGCTTTATAGTGACATTCCGGCCGCCATCGCAAACTTGACCTTCACCAACGACAGAGTGACTGAGGATATGTTCTGGGAAGTTGCCGCAACCTACATCCAGGATACAGCTAGACTGGCCGATTTAGGTGGTGCTGCCGTTTGGGAAGTCACTAACGCGGTCTTCAAGAGCATGCCGTCCACGCTTCCTGGCGGCACCAAGGAGCAGTTGCAGACGCTGATGCAGCCCACCCTGGACCTTCTGAGCAGCAGCAACATGACCTATAGTACGTTTTTG